CATACATCATATTACAAAAAGTGTTACAGTAATTATTCCAAATAATATTCCAAATAATATATTATCCAAACAACTGTTGTTGCTTTAGGCTTTTATGTGCTTTTGGGATAATGGAGACCGTAGAGCAAGGAATGCCACTATGGTGGGGAAAAGGAATTTGGTCCTTGATGGGGAGAAAAAGTTTGGACCTAACACGTATTGATGGGAAGAGAATGGTGACCCAAATGATTGGACTGCAGAGGCATATTATGTCGACTGGAAACCGGGCAACAAGGTTAAAGCTTCTGTACGTTTATTAGGCTGGTGATGGTGATGGGTAGGTGAATGTTGAGGTTAGGTGGATGATGGTAGGTAAAAAGGGAGGATGAAATGAATAAAAAGAAATGGGCTGGACACAAGGGCGACGCATCCAATTTCTCTTGCACAGCGCCCACGGGAGACGCATTTCACGTCGGTCCGGGTGATGCTTACTAAATTAAACAGAAAATTCCCTGTTCCCCAACCAAACTTTTGGATAGAATGGCTAATTATGAAAATAGTTTTTCATTTTTGCACTTAAAGCGTTTTAATCATTAAATCTATATTGTGTAACGTATTTTTTGCATCATATTTAGTATTTAAATTTTTGGACAACAAATAGAATAAATTGTTGAATGTGATTCACAATCTTGTTAAATAGCATATAACGCAAGAAATCATATATTTTAGTTAAACGACTTTATCTTTTTCTAGTTACAATTGTATTTTCTATGACTTTGTATGGATTAAGTGTTTTTCAAGAAATTTTACTATATTAGTGTAAATAAAAATTTTACTGCACATAGTCAAGTGTTTTTTGGAAGGTATTTTTTAGATTTTTTTGAGGTATTTTTAAAAAATTTAAAACTACCACTACCACTATATCCAGTCACTCCCTCTTCTTCCTCCTACTCTTTTCTTCTTCTCTTTCTGCCTCCTCCCTCTTTCTCTTTCTCCCCTTTCCTTCTCTCCTCCCTTACCATACCTCCCCTCTTCCATTGCTTTCCCTATCTGAATAAGATGGAAAAATTGTTTTGATGGAAAAACTAGAAAAAAACAATTCCTAAAATGTCATACTGTGATTTCAAAAATGTAATTATAGCAGATTAATAACATGAGGGTGAAAAGGAAGGGAAATCATGAAAAACGATTATTTGATACTTCCAACTGAACAAAACCTACACTGTGTTTCAAGGGTTACGCCAACCAAAACGATATACTACACATTGAAATGATTCAACTAGCAAACAACTTATGCTATACATCTAACTAATCCAACAAACAACTTATATTGTACATCTAAATGATCCAACGAACAATTTCATCAACTATATGGAGATCATTCCGTATGAAATATGAATACTTTCTCTTGATTATAGTCCATTCAATTGAATTAGAAGAGATCGGATAAGACCTCCTAGACATATTTGAGATTTTCCTATGTTATTTACTCATCTGAGGTTCAGTAGGGCACAAAGAATCCACCTCATCAGTCCAACAATGCATATAAAGTGGAGGATATATCCCAAAAACTTATCTCCATTTCATTATGAGTATTAGGGTAAGAGAAGGGAGAGGAAGGAATGGGAAAGGATGGGAGGGGAGAAGGATAGAGGGGAAAGAGAGAGGAGTGAGGATGGTGGTGGGTAGAAGAAGAAAATGTGGTAGGATTTAATTTTTATTTTTTTTTAGTTCTTTTGGTATTTTTGTAAGTTGTCTTTGAAATTATATATATTTTTGAGTGTTATTGTAGACGTCAAATACAAAAATAGCTTTGATAAAAGTCTAAATCCATACAGAGCCTATATCTATTTATAGTAGTGATAAGGCACATGCGATGTGTGTGCAATTTAGGAATCACCTTTTGTATGAAAAATTTTAGTCTAAATTTTTCATAAACAAAAAAAAAATGATCTTTTAAAAGTTTTTTAAATATAATTTTAATTAATTCAATGGTTACAATGTTTTGTAGGTGGTTATGGGTGAAAATCAGTTGCGATTGCACTGATTGGCTACATAAGCAACATGCAATCAGATGATAAAGCTATGATTAAATGATCGTGAGGGTAAAGTTGAAAATTTAAAAGATGACAAAAAAGTTTACACAAAATCAATGCTCTTCCTTTATATATAATATAGACATGTTATTGGTGTTAATAAGCTTATACATAACATAATATTTCAATTTTTTGGTTCTCTAGTAAGATCCACAATTCTATGATTCTACCTACAATTTGATCCTACAACTTCCAAGATGACTGAAGATAGGATCATACCACTTTTGCATTTTATACCTTTGTATTAATTTTATCTCGCTTTACCCCTAAACTGTTAGTTGAGATTTACTTCGTTTGGAGAAAATATAAAAAAGCCATTGATATCCCTGAGGGTTAATTATAGTAAATTCCCTTAAGGTAAGGTGCATTTTGCACTTTACCGCCTAATATTATTTTTCTCTCTATTTGTTTGTTTGTTTCCAAAATCATTAGTCAACTTCAATATTTTGTACACGTTGGGGACAAAATACAAAACAAGCTATACTGTAATTAATAAAATTGCAAAAATGGCTATATTATATGGGGAGTTATTGTAATTAGCCCTTTGGAAAATTGCTTTCTCTCTATACCCATCAATGCACCTAAATTTGCCATTTAAATGAGAATACAAATATACAAGTATTTGGAGCTTATTTCCAAAATAATACTCTTTTTGAAAAAAATACACCCAAATTGATGCAGTTTCTAATTTCTTATTTTCCACGTGGACTTCCTATCAACCACGTAGGGAAAAAAAAGAAGCATGCTTTGCTTCTATCTCCTCTTTGGATCTATTCCCAATTTTCTTCTGTATCTTTCTACATTTTGTTTTTCTTTTTCTTTTCATATCTTTTTTTTTCCTTGGCAAACTCATAACTACAAGAAACAAATGTTCACAATATTTAAAACTCGACCATAATCTGTATCGTAATATTTGACAGTTGAAGGTCTCTTCTTGTATACATAATGTCAAGGTAAGTTATTCTTTATTTTCTTTTATTGATCAACCTAATGTCGTGGCCTTTGGATAATCTAGTATGATGATTATTAAATAAATTCCACACCATATGTTTAATGAATGTCAAGAACAAAAAGAACAAACCTCTACAAATTAATAACTTTAGAACCAGGCAAATTCTATTAATTTAAAGAAATATTAATTAATTGATAATTTAATAATCTAATAATTTATTGATTGTATCTACAATTTAATTTATTAATTTATCGATTGTATCTACAATTTAAAGAAACATTCATTTAATTAACAAACATTTTATTTTATTTTATAGAAATATAAATTATTCTATTAATAAAAGGAAGTTAAAATTCTAGGGAATATGCACGTATGTAACTGATATCCTTTTCCAAAATTCTTTTTGTGAAAGAAATGCCCTTATAAAAATTAAATGATCCTTTAGATGGAGAAGACGATAATCAATGATTTAGGTTACCCTAATAAAATGAATGCAAATTGCCTATTGGATTATCAGGGTGAAAATGATATAAGTTTAGAGGTCTCAAGTTTAAAAGAAATTGTTGCTAACAATAATTTTGTTGATGATGAAGCTAATGATGATATAGTCAGGAAGCACTCAAATTATTTAATAGAGATTATTAATTTATTAAATATTAATATATAGAGATTTTGCTATATATATCATTTCTAATACCAATATTTACGTGATCACGGAAAAATTAATACCAATATTTCTATGTTGTGTTTGGATTGCATTTTCTATGATTTTTCATGGAAAAATTATTGTAACGATTTGATGTATGTGAGGGAAAAATATAATAAGGAAATATGATCATGGAAAATGACGTAATTTTTTGATAGAAAACAGCAATCCAAACAAGGCAGGCATTTCAATTTTCATTGCATTATGGTTTGTTTGGATTGAGCATTATTTTCCAAATTTTATTTGCTCACATCATCATTACAATTCTCAATACACCTTTTTATTTTCTCAATTATCTTTTTATCTCACATATATCACGTCACAAAAAATGATATAGTAAAAATATTTCAAATAACTTACAATCCAAACAAACCCTTTGGAAATAGTCTCTTAATAATCTAATTGGATCGGTTGAGAAATTTGTATACACCTTTGATTGGGCATGGGCCAAAAATACTACTGCTAGAATGGTACATCCTGCTCCTTCTCGAGCATGCTTCTCGTGATGTGAATATTATTATATTTCAAATATACCCTCTTCCTTCTAGAGTATGCTTTCGTGACGTGATTATTATATTTCAAAGATACCCTATCCCTTCTAGATTCTATACTTTTCCTGACGTGACTGTTATATTTCAATTATAACCTCTCTCAGTGGAGAAGGCTGCATACCACCGGCTCTCTCCGTTCCCCCTCATGTGATATCCTCGATGTCAACGTCGTCTGTTGTCTTCCTCCCGTTGTTTTTCCGCCTTCTAGAGCAAAATTCTCTCCCCAGGCCAAGGATGAAACCTAAGGGAAGCCGCATCGGCTTTGATTAGAATACGGCACCACGTTTTAGCTCACACATATCTTTCGTCTGAAGTCCGATTTGACCGGATTGCTGTGTTGTCACAAGCCGGCCAATGACGACAAAATGCGTTTGTAGTTTAGTATTATATACACTAGTATCTAAGCATGAACGACGGTCTCGCCGGCCATCATGTGGTAGGCATCGCGAAGGGTCCCTACAATAAAAAATACCGCACGACTCCGAAGTCCGAACAAAATCCATTTATTTCTTTCACCACCGATATTGATCGTACAGTAACTAATAATTAAATAAACAACCATCCGCTTATGTGTTTCCTTGGTGCGTGAGCAGTGGGGGGGTGAGGTTTGCATCTTGTCCTTTGCTCGGTCCGTTCAATAAAAGCAAAGCTTCCCTCATCCCAAAAGCACAAACGCCATAAGAATAGAAGCGGAGTTGTAGCCAACCATTTCCAAAATGGAGCACGGGAACTTTAAATCAATCTATGCTTGGTCATCGGTGGTAGCATCTCTCTTTTACTGCTATTTCATTCCTGCAAGAATCCCAAAAGGCTTCTTGAGGCTGGTTTCTCTCCTACCCGTCTTCTGTCACTTCACAGTTCTCCCTATGTACATGCCCTCCATCTTCTTCAGAGGAGTCTCAACGCTCTTCATCACCTGGCTCGCCAACTCCAAGCTGCTCCTCTTTGCCTTTGGACAGGGTCCACTCGCCTGGGCCCAATCCCAGTCCCTCCACATCTTCATCGCCTCCGCCGCTCTCCCCATCAGAGCCAAGCGGGCAGATGACAGCAACCCATCCTCCTCCAAGAAAAAGGTGCCGTTTTTGAATTTAGGAACGGAGATCTTAGCCTTGTCCGTTTTATTAGCCCTGGCAGCCAAGTACAGAGAAACTGCACACCCGCTGGTTCTACAAGCAGACTACTGTTGCGTGATATTTCTTCTGGTGGATGTTCTGGTGGCGTTCTCGAGTTCCGTGGTCCGAGCCATGGTGGGTCTGGAGCTGGAGCCGCCGTCCAATGCGCCCTACGCATCGACTTCTCTGCAAGATTTCTGGGGAAAGCGGTGGAACCTCACCGTGACAAATACGCTACGGCTCTCGGTGTACAAGCCGGTCAGGTCAGTGTCGGCAGGTGTAGTGGGGAATCGCTGGGCCGCGCTGCCAGCCTTTTTCGCCACTTTTTTAGTCTCCGGTCTGATGCACGAACTCATATACTATTACGTGTCACGTGCGAAGCCCTCGTGGGAGGTGACGTGGTTTTTCATTCTGCATGGAATCTGCGTCATGATCGAACTCGTAATTAAGAGGGGTTTGAAAGGAAAACGGGAGATGCCATGGTTTATTTCGGGCCCATTGACGATGGGGTTTGTGATTATAACCAGTTTTTGGTTGTTCTTTCCTCCCTTGATGAAGTCCGGGGCTGATGAAATGGTTCTTGAAGAGTTCAGATCTCTTTGTGAGTCTTGGAAGGGTAGGCTAGGGACCTTGTCTCCCAATATTCTGAGCCCCAATTTGAGTTAAGAGACGGGGAAGTCTTGAAAATGGTCAGGTCCTCAAGAAAGATCTCCAACATTTCTGTCATAATAATCCAAACTTTTTGGAATGGGACCTGATTAATGTGCATGTCCAGATTAATGTTTACCATGGATTGGATTGGATGTAGGCATTGTAGTTTTTTTTTTTTTTTTTTTTCCTCTTGTTATTTTGTTTTAATGAACTGCTGCTTATTTAACATTATCAGATTCAGGGGTTTTGTATCGCTCAACCATTTGATCTAACGGCCCATGAATCACAGCAGCACAAAAGGGGGTCACAAAAGGTCGCGAAGATGGACCAAAATTACTGCCCCCTCTTCTTCTTCTTCTTTTTTTTTTAAAAAAAAAAAAACCAAAAAGACAATAATGAATGAAACCCGTGTCCTTGAAAGGAAAAAAAAAGGAAAAAGGAAACCTCAGGCCCATCAACAATTTGATGCAAAAAAGGGCTGGGAGACCATTGGTGTCGTTTCACATAAAAAGCCGCCAAACTTCTGACTAACACTCTTAACAGCTGTTGCTCCTCGCCAATGCACCGTCATTCCACATTATTAATTTATTACCAGACAGCAGGCGTTCAAATGACCAAAACGCCCTGCGAAACCCAGTCAAAATACCGCATCTACCCACGCAATTAAGGTGACGAAATTGGATTGCTAATTCACAGTCCAATTGCAAAGTGGCTCTTTTGCCACTGTAAGGATTGACTGACTAATTTTTGGAGAGTTTATTTTGATGATTTATTTGAGATAATTACTGTATGATTTTTTGTAATGCGATGTATATATAAAATAAAAAAGTGTGATCTTTAAATCACATAATTTGAACAGCTTTTTGAAGAACGAGACGACATAATTTCATCCATAGTTGTCCTTTGACATCCAACATAATTTTCATTAATGCTAATTAAAAGATGAGACGTCTAATCTCAGTCGGTAATTAAATTAAGTTGCATTGCTCTAAATAAAACTGGAGGTAATCCATTGATGAGTTTTTTAATCATTTTTTTACCTTATATACATCAAATTATTATAATACATTTTTTTTTACTAAAAAGCTATAGAAAATAGCGATTCAAAAGTGTCACATTTTTAAGGCTAATCCCTTTGTTTATTGATTAAAAAAAATCACGCAAATATTGATATGATATTCCCTATGTCCCAATTTTAAGGACGTTTATTGGGGGTGCAACTTTTTTTGGTACAGTGATATCATTATTGACAGTCAAGCCTTTGCTTTCAAATTTATCCCGTTACAAGTACAATAGTTAGTTGCACTTTATATTTTTCATGCAGTAATGTTTTCGTGGATCTTATCCTAATCAAATGCATCCCTTTATATTTTAAAGACACGCGCCGTTATTGGCCTTATAAAGTGAGAGTTAGTCTTACGTACTCCTCGAGCTTCTCTAAATGGATAATAAATAACAAGTCCTATCAAATATTTTTGGACTTCCTAGCACATGCACTGTGAGGGCAAAGAGGGAATGTTAGAAGGAAAATAGTAGTATAATATGACTTTAATTTTGGGATAATAAGAAGGGTGAAACATGACATTAACAATAGATGGAAGGGAAGAGCAAGAGAATATTCTACAACTATGCCACTTATTAAGCACGACAGGTTGGACAAATTTTCTTTTTTTAAAAAATTTGGGCTGCTGGCTGACAGCCTGTTGGGGGAATTATTTTTTTTTTTTTTACAAAATTGAAGGCTGTCAGCCTAGCAGCAATGATGCCAAAGAAAACAAGTCATTATGAGGGAAATCATTAGGTGGGAATGGGACGTAAAGCCCTCCTGTTCCTTTACACACAATAATGAAGCACATGACTTCAGATTTTTTTTATCTGAAGGAACACATGGCTTCAGATTCAAGATCGTTGATTGCAGGGAAAAAGCTCTTAGCTCAATTATTCCATGTATAAACCTTTCCACACTTAAAGAAGCCAGTAGTTCCTAAGACAAACTTTACCACAAAGCTCAAGGTGAAGTGAAAGCCACTTCACTTTGCTGTAGTCCGGCGACAGAAAGGTGGAATATATTAATCCGGCATTAGTGCTTTAATCCTTGGCTTTGTCCTGGCCAATAATCATTCGGAGTGGGGAAAGGAAATCAGTAGTGGTTTAAGGTCTTCAGGGCATCTTTCTGATCTATTAATAGAAATTAAATTTACTCTTTATTGGTTTGTCAAAGTTTGTGTTTGGATTGTATTTTCTAGGATTTTTTATAGAAAAATTACTGTAGCAATTTGATGTACGTGAAATAAAAAGGTAATATAAAAATGTGATCATGAAAAACGACGCAATTTTCCGGCGAAAAATGGCTATCCAAACAAGGGTTTATCCTACCGACCATTGATTATTTCTTGACCATCAAACTAATTTTGGTCCTAATTCAATCAACTAATCAGTGGACCCCTAGCCGTTTTGTGAGATTTTGCTCTCAATTTACAAGATAAATCAAACATTTGCAACTCACTTGTCAAAATTCAAGATCTAAACTCGAAGGTAAAAAATGTCAATGGCCACTAAACTATTTTATTCGTACACTTTTAACCACTCAATTATTATTTTTTATTCAAAATGTCCACTCAACTCACAAATGTGTATATTAGTGGCCATTCTGTCCAAATTCGGTGTTAATTCCAACAATAATGTTTTGAACCAATTGCAGAAAAAGGAATGTTTTGAACCAATTACATAATCTATATGCTACAAGTATGTGAGAATTAGAATGCGAAAGAATTGCTAAAAAATTTCCTCATGGCTCTTCTAATTTTGATGATATAAAAGCTGGGTAAAATACTTTGTTTAGGATGGCATTATTAGTCCTTAACACAGCTCTTCCTTTCTTTTTTTGAAAATAATCACCCCAGCAAGGACAATAGTTTTTTTTTCTTTTTCACTGGCAGGTTCAGTCAGTCCGGCAACCTTCAATTTTTTTTTTAAAAAAAAAAACCTAGCAGGCTATTGGGCTCAACCCAAGCACAACAAGCATAATTGTAAAACATGAATTCTTATGTCAAATTAAGATTTATGCGATTTTTTTTCATCAATAAACAAAGGAATTAGTCCATTTTTAAGGCTTGAAAATTGAAGTCCCCTGAATTCCCCCATATTTAAAGGTCAAGTTATTTTTCTTCTTATTGCCAATCGAATTGGTTAGGTTGTTCTTCCTGCAAATACATCTCCAATTATATAGGAGTATCTAATTTGTTGACAATTCCAGTGCTAGATTCAATTGAGATTCGTTTTAGTGAGTTTTTGGATGGCATCCGTGATTTCCCCGTTTGCTTTGCCGACTTTGACGATCATTTCTTCCTTCCCGTTAGATTAAATACAATACGAGTAGCTTGTCATTTTAAACATGAAAATTCTCACAAAATTGCTCTCTGTCGTTCTTTCCCTTAATGGATCGTGACCCATTATATGGGAGAGGAAATACGCATCGATTCAGCTACCTTCCCATTGCTTTCACTTTCCTCGCTTCAACCTTCCGGACCGGATGTTTTTGGCTTTGTGCTTGGAACTGGGAGCAGCAAAGCAAACTTCAAGACATGTTATTGCTACTCCAAAATTAGCGACTCTGGTGACAGCTTCCTAACAATAATGTTGACGGGTAAAATAGTGCAATTATATATGCAAGAATAAAAGTCCCTAGTTTGGTATATGCCACTGTCAGATGTTGATCTCTGCCAGTGAAAGGTGCCCACATACATGCCGATTTTGAATAAAAAGAAAATATGACTATCTATAAATCTTTCTGACTTATTCGTGTGCGGAGGAAAATTAAAGACAACAATAATAGATTATTAATGAAAAATTCTTACATTGTAGTTTGAATGGCTATAAAATCTTCTTTTCAGATTTTCAAGCGTTCAAAAGGTGCACAAGGGTGCCATTTTACCAAATTCACACATTTTTTGGGACGATCTTTCAATATGTTATTTGAAGAACTTTGTGACATTTTTTTATGACGTTTTTTGCTGACAAAGAAAAATTTTAGGTGCTTAATGACAGGGATTTTGAAGCAAAAGTGACTAGGTTTCTTTTTAGCGAGGATGCGAATGCAGATCGATTCTAATAGAAAACTTGTTAGTGTGAATTTGATATTTTTATATTTCAATGTGGTTTGTTTGGACAGTGAATTATTGTTAAAATTTATTTGTTCACATAATTAACATATTTTTTAATTATTTTTTATCTTACATATATCGCATTAAAAAAGTGCTACTACAGTTTCATTTGAAAGATACAAACAATCCATTCTGATAAAATATCTTATAAGCTTGCAATTATCTAACCTGGATGAATGATGATGCAACCTCACAACCACTCAATTACCTTGACAATTTAGACACAGACAAAACCTAATTTGGATTGGTTATATATATACACACACACAATGACACAAACGCACATCCCCTCCTCTATCAATTTATTACTAAGGTGGGCTGAGCTTGTGGGGGTGTTCACATGGCCACGCAAACAAGGGGAATTGCTCCAACGGTGAAGCCATTCCTATTTTGGCTCTTAAAAATAAGGTATAATTTTAGAAACATCCATTGAGATTTTTCACAATTTCACTTAACTCTTCTTTAATATAAAAAATTACACTTATTAATTATATTTACTGTTTGGGCAACAAAAATCTGTAGACAGACGCAAAATTTCATTTGCAAATTTATTAGTAAGGTGGAGTGAAGTTAGTTTGCCTAGGATTGGCCTTAGAAATAAATAGTCATTGCGATTTCGCATTCGCTAGCTGGTGACTAAATTAATTATCCAAGCTGACGTTTGGGATAAGCGGATTGAATGTTATTATATCCTATGCTGATGGTGAACAACAATAAGGTTTAGGTCCAAGACGAACTAATTGCCTTGTTTGGGCAACGCATTAATGACTAGTTGGTTCATGGATGAGTAAGATTTTCTGAATGTACTATAGACCTAGAGCAAATCTTCATATAAATTGACGTAATTAAGGT